ACCCTTTAGTAGTGTCTAAGTGTGTTGCCACAGGCACAGTTTGGCTTTCAAAAGTAAATGCACACATATTTTTAAGTCCCTATTCTGTCGACTTGCCCACGTACGTTCCTGTCCTGAGGAACTCCATACCCAATTGGGGGAAGAAGGCATACACCTGTGGAAAGGTGAGTAAAGGGGCAAATGGGGCCAGGGCATAGCCGGAGGGAAACTCAGCACTGATCTGAGGGTGCGGGGGACGAGCCGTGGACTGATGGCAGGAGGGGAGCTAGGGTCAGGGCAGAATGACAGGGTAGGGAGGGCCAAAGGGAAGGCCAGGTCTGGACCTTGGGCAAGAGGGAAGAAGAGGTGATCCAGATGTCAGGTGGCTGTGGGAGCTGCACCACCTGGGAGACACATGGGAGTTGAGCAGGATAGTTGTAAGGTCAGTGCAGACCGGGAGGATGGCTCTGGCAAGGGGATGGTGTGTCCTTACAGTCATCCTGGCAGGAAACTCTCTCTGGCCTTCGTCAATACCAGAAGCCTTGGCTGGCCGCCAGCCTCCTCTGCTGAGCCAATGTGCCAATAAATACTTGTTGGCAGGTCAATTAAACCATCTAGGAACGTCATCTGGAAATACAGTTTCCTCAGCTTCAGGCAGGTAGACAAGCCCTCTCTGCCAGTTAGGCCTAAGATCCTGTGTTTCCCACCCTCCACCCCCGAGAAAGCCAGCCCAGGACACCAACGCCTGCTCTGCGGAATCAGCCCTGCTCTGACGCTGGCCCAGGCAGCAGGAGCCAGGGTGTAGGAGTGGTATGGCCTGGATTTAAGCACAGCTCTTCCCCTGGTCTTGAGCAAATTCTTCATCTTTCCAAGTACAATTTCCTCACCTATAAACTGGGGATAATATAACAGTAACATTGCCTCAAGGTTTATTGTGTGGACCCCCCAAAAAAAAAGAAAATGAGCAAAACATTTGGCCCAACGCAGGGAGCATGGGTGGCATGAAAAAAAAGTGTGATTATCATGACCCTTAAATCAAAGCTGCATATCGCTCCCAGCCTGCTTGGGGCTGGGCTGCCTCTCTGCTTCCTCACTGCCCAAGACCTCCAGGACAGGAGACAAAGCCGTCTGCCAGCCCTCCTGGCTACCAGCATGTGGGAGGAGGAGCTGGAGCTGGGGAGCCCAGGAACCATTCCGGAAACCAGCCTGGAGCAGATTCCAAAGGCCGGTCCTCCTCACAGCAGGCGCACTCGACCTCACAGCAGGCGCACTCGACCTCACAGCAGCCGGGACATTTTCAGTGGCCCTCTCCAGTTACTGACCAAAGCATGCCTGATCCACAGCCCCCGCTGGGGCTGTCTTTCTGCAATAGCTTTTCAGAACACCTGCAGAGCTCTGTGCTAAGTTAGAGAGCTTTGAGGGCTGGAGATGAAGCTGGTGGGAGAGGCAAATGAAAGGGACAGCATCGCAGGGCCTCAGTGGCACTCACTGCTAAAGGGAAGGGCCAGTCCTTTGCCGTGTGGCTGCCTGGCCCAGTGGAGTAGCCTCTCCTGTTCCTTCTCCTCTTGTCTTGTCTGTAAACATCTCCACAAGGGCCCACTGGGCCAAGCTCAGTTTGAGTCCCAGTACCCCCAGTTACTAGCTGTGTGACCTTGGGCAATTTACTCAAGTTCTCTGTGCCTCAATTTCTTTGTTGTAAAATGAAGATGATGACACAGGTATTAGGTCAGAGTGTCACAAGGATTAAATGAATTAAAATTTGTAACGTGCTCAGAATAGAGGTCAGTGCAGACTAAGCACTATATAAGAATTAATGGTCGCGCTGCTATCATTTGGACCCTGGCCCCAGTTATCTGGAGACAGCTTGCCCATTTGCCTGGCCTCAGGTCCATGCTTCTCAGCTCACTCATAAGGCAGAGCCCATGGGTGTCCTGCAGCTCTTTGTAGTAAACCTCGAGATGCTAAGCTGTTTCACCCCATGGTGTAGCTGAAAAACACCTCTGCGAGAGGAAAATGTGCTTCCATGGGCTCTTGCCCTTAACAAAACACGTGTTTCAGAGTTACTGCAGTTAGCGCTTTCTAAGTCTTGTTTTCATAGTCATAAAATTTCCAAAATTGAGCAAATGATATCCATTAACTTACTTCTGTCATATTAGAAGAGAAGCCTCTGTTCAGGCCACATTTGTTTTAATCCACAGGTAAACCCCAAGCTCTGGCCCAACTCACCTAGCTGAAGCAGTGGGCCCTGCCTGCCATGGGTCTGTCCCGTGCTGGCAAGCTTTGTCATGCCCACTTTACCAAGGAGAACACTGAGGGGCAGAGAAGAGCAGTCATTGTGCACAGCCAGTAAGTTCTGGGGCCGGAGCCTAACCTGTGAGGGGCCCTGGGCAGATTTCTCTCCCCTACAATCTTATGGGAAAGTGACCCCAGCAAGCAGCCCTGAATTCTGCCTCAGTCTGTCTTGGACTGCAGTCCCCCACACATCCCACTCAGGTCTGCTTCCTGACCTGCTGTAATGTCCACAACTGGTGCTGGCTTGGAATTCCTCTCATGCACAGACCCCCACATTGGGTCAGCTTCCCTGCCCAGGGACTCCCTGGGGCCAAACACTTTCCAGTGCCCAGGGATCCCCCAGTGGACCTCAACCCAGGCCAGAAGCTGCAGGCATCACACAGTCCCTTCCCAACCAGACCCTGTCAGACTCCACTGAAGCCTGTCCCATGACCCACCTTGTAGTCAGGGCTTGTCCCAGGCTGACCCTGGGCCTTTCAAAGCCCAGAGAAGCTGAGCTCTTCCTTTCTGCAATCCTGCCCTGCCCAAGATAGAGAACAGGCCAGAGCCACAGCAGACAAGCCAATCCTGTCACCTAACAGGAGATGCCGCGGGCTAGCATCACATGACATCCCGATCTCCCCTTGCCTCCTGGACAGCCTTCCCATGGGAGGAGGATGGTGCTGCAAATGTCAGTCTCTCCAAGCTTCTCCAGTCCCCTGAGGACCCTAGAGCTCAAAGTGCCCCCAGCACAGCTGTCCTGTCCCACCCAGCCCCCCATCAGATCCCATCATGGTTTGGCAGCTCCTGAGCCTAATGCGCATCAGGGGGCCACTGGCTACAACCTCAGTAGCACCTTAGTTTTGTGCCTGAAAACCAGCAACAGCTAACACCCAGTGTGAGTCCCTCCACCAGAGGAAGCCCATCCTGGGGGCCAGCGGTTGGCTCAGGTAGCTCCCACTGAGTGTCAATGTCAGCCTTTAATCCCAGTTGGTGTTACCACCCAAGATCTCACAGCAGCTGTGAAAGGGACCTGATACTCCAGATGAGTACAATGAGTCATAGGCATACGAGCGACCCACCCAAGACACAAAACCACTGTGCACTGGGGACACAATTAGAACTAAGGCATGTGTCCCAAGAGCCTTTGCACACAAAGTCCACCCTTCCAGTCCAGGGACCAATTCTGGCAAGCAAGTTTTCCGATTCCATTTGAAGAGTATTGTTACTGCTCAGCACTGGGGTCTGCCTGGTCCCAGTGTCTGTGGGGGCTCTGGACCTTCTCCACAAGGCACTGGGATGACTAACTGGACCCTTCTCAGGACATACTCACTGCCCCAGACTTAATGGTTCCTCAGAGGAAACAGAACAACACTTTGCCATCCAATGGAAATATGAACAAGAATGTCACCTATTAGACCAGAGAGCTGAGCACAACGGCCACTTTCTGTCGGCCTTGAAAATGGTCATCCCCCACCCCCACCCCATGCTCAAGTAAATGTAAATTTTACTTGAGTAAAATCTTGCTCTTGACATCTTGCCTGGAGTATTACTCTCAGTCCCTCAACTGAAGTGGGGGCAGGGCATGGAGCATGGGGAAAAAGTGGGCTTCAGAGCTGACAGACCTGCGTGGACCTCCATTCTGGCTCTCTGCAGCTCTGCTTTTCGTGTTCTCATCCCTGAAATGTGGGCAATTACATCTCTCAGTTAAACTAACCTGGAATTCCGGCTTTAAGGACCCATCTCTGTGAGCTCCCTCAGGGCTGAGGCAGCAAGTCTGTTCGGAAGAGGGGTGTTGAACCCACAAGGCCCCACTAAGCTGGGATCCAGCCCGGGATAGGCAGCCACACACACCTTTGTCCAGAGACCACCCTGCCTCCCTGAGAACTCCTAACACCAACAACCGTTTTTGTTACTATGATGTTTAAGTTGCCTCACAAAATAATCAAGCATGTTAAATGAGAGGAGTCCTTAGAATTGTCAGAGGTCAAACCCAATAGCCTGTGGGCTCGTCTGCAGCCTGCAAGGGTGTTTTGTTTGCCCACACAGAGTTTTCAGTAGCTGCGAACTTTAAAAATTGGGATAGTTCACACAAAACCTAAGATTTCTGAGTCCTCTGGGAAAGATCAGAAGATTCTACAACTTTCAGCTCTCATTCCCATGAGGCAATAATCAGCTAAGATGAGAGGCAGCTGTTGCCTTTCAAGGACAGTTCACCAGGAAGAGCTAGAATTTGGGTTTTCAGCCCCCACATATAGTAGGTGGTCAATAAATGATAGTTGTTATTACCATTACTGATTATTTATTAGTGACTCAAGTGTACAGCATTCTGGTGCACTCTCCTGCCTGTGAGCTTGAGGCTGGGCACACAGGGGACATCATTCTGCATAACCCTCATATAGAAAGACTGATGGCTAGTGACAACACTCAAAGCCCTTATTCAGTATATCCTAAGCACTTCACATATATTACTATCTTATTCGAATCTCACAATAAGCCTAACAAGATTACTATCATCATACCACTTTTGAAGATAGGGAAACTGAGACCCAGTCCAAGATCACCATGGCAGCAAGAGAGTCAGGATGCAAGCCCAGGAGCCTGGCTGCAGAGCCTGCGTCCCAACCAGGACTCCACAGGGCGGAGAGACAGAGGGCGGGGCCTCACCTTCACTCCACCGCGCCCCTTGAGTCCTCTAAGGACCAGCATACTCTGGAGCCCCAGCACCCCCCTCAGCTGGCTGCACTTACGGTCAAGGCCATTGACGTAGCGCATGGTGACCTCACAGTGGCCCCACACCGCGCTCACCACCGGGTACAGCTTCTTGCCCTTGAGGCCACGGAAGGCCACGCCCAGGTACTGGCCGTCCACGACGAAGCTGAGCGTGCCCTCATCCATGTCCAGCACCACCAGCAGCGAGTCCGGCAGTGCGAAGGCCTCCTCCGGCCCCAGGAAGGCCGGGTAGGCCACCCCAGGCTGGTTCTTGCCGTCGTGGTACAGGCGGCTGCGCCCCAGGTCCCAGCCCCACGACTCGGCGTCACTGCCCACCAGAGCCGTGTAGCCCACAGAGTGAAGGGGTGCCCGAGCCGTGGCCACACCAACTACGGCGTGGGTACCACGCTGCCGGGCCGGCCAGCTGATCTGCCAGGCGTGCAGGCCGCGGGCGTGGCCCACCTTGCCGCGGATGCCGTCGGTGCTCTGGGCCACGGGGTGCCGGTGGAAGGTGAGCCGGTCGTCATCCTTGACGAAGACGTTGAGCGAGCGGTCCTCAGGGTTCCAGGCGTGGCGCAGCTGAGCCGCCAGCCCCGCAGCAGGCATGTCCAGCAGCTGGTCCAGCCGCGCCGGCCGCCCGGGCTCCGCTCCCCGCAGCTCCAGCTTGGCCGGCCGCAGCCCTGGCTCTCTCACCTCCACCGACTTGAGGCTCCCTGAGAGCTTCTGGCCCATGGTTCACTGCTGCGAGGGGGCCGCTGCAGGCCGCCGCTACCTCGTGGGAGCTTCCGCTCCCTGCGGCCAGGGATGGGCCGCAGGGCTGGGGGCCAGGCTTCTGGACCACACTTCTCCACAGCCTCTACTGGGCTGGGGCAGGGGCCCAAGCTCCTGCAAGGAGGCAAAGGGCATGAGTTATTACAGAGACACTGACAGCAGGTTATGCCCATGCCTTGGCTGACCCCTTTGTGTGCATTAACAATAATAATAATTGACATAATAATCCTGGCTTTTATCTAGTACTTGCCGTATGCTAGACACTCTTCTAAACATCCTACATGTATTAACTCATTTAATCCTTGAGAACTCCTTGTAAGACATATAAATTATTATCCCCATTTTATAGATGAGAAAGCTAAAGGGCAGAGAGAAGGTAAATAATTAAAGCTGCACAGCTGTTAAGGGGCTGAGCCAAGATTCACACTGAGGTCATCTGGCTTCAGAGTCTGTGCTTTGCTCTTAGAGCAGTAAGAGGCAATTTTATAAGGACTGAGCTCTGCGAAGTTAAGTGATGTGCCCCAGATCACAGCACCTGGAAAAGAACCCAGGAGCTTTTGGTTCCAGGGTACAAGCCCTGTGCTGGGAGCCGGAGTGCCCAGGAATGGAGGCCCCAGGGTATGGCCCACTGGTGCCCATCCCCGGCTGCCCTGGGGAGCTTAACTGCCATCTAGAGTACAGAGTAAGAATCTAGCAAGGTCACCCAGGGACAAGGAGTGAACACAGGCCACCATCTGAGGGTGGGGTGGGTGTCTATGAGAAGGTGAGTGGGAGGCAGGGGCAGTAAGGGACCTGGTGTCCAGGCTCTGGAGCCAGACGAATAGACCCCGATTCCACACTCCATCTCATAGCTGTGTGACCACAGGAAGGTCTCTTAGCCTCTCTGAGACTCCAGTTTCCACCTCTATAAAATGGGAATAAAATGCCTCCCTTTGGGTGGTGTGGGAATCTGAGAAACAATAATATGAAGGGCCAGGCCTGAGACTCTGTGGGTAGGCTTTCCTCTCTAGCTCTATCCTCTGGGCATCTCACACACACCCCTTTCCTCGGGGTGGGCAAGCACTTTCTGTAGGCACATAAACATGCTTGAAAACACTGACCCCAGACAACTCCTCTGAGGCAGGATCCTGGTTTTCAGGGAGGTCTGGGCCACCACCAGTAGGAGACCTGCTAGAACCCAGGGTGCTTGGGCCGCTTGGACAGGCCCTAGGTGTGGGGAGAGATGGGAAGGTGAGCCTGCAGCCTGTCCAGAGCAGAGCTGTGCACTTTACCCTCTCTGGCCTAAGAGCTGCTGGGCTCAAAACAGCCTCCCCTGAGGTAGACCAGGTGACAGGCATTTTTCAAGCCCTGCCCTGCTTGGCCATGACCTCCCACACAAACTGTGGCACACTCCCAATCAGAGTCCAGGTGGAGAAGCAAGGAACACCACTGCCACACAGCACAGGCAGGTGTACTGTGGATTTCTTCCTTAACCCTCTTATTTTACTCTCAACTCCCATTTTCTTTCCTTTCTATTTCAGACTGCAGCTTCAATTCATGCCGACCCTCTCCAGCAGCTCTTGCTAATGTTTAACCAGAGAATACCAGAGCACATAGACATTTGGGCCACGGGACACTTCTCAGATAGCAGAGTACTCCTTCTCATTTTCCAAGTCACCCAAAATAAAGGAGGAATAGAAACAAATACAAATTCTATCTTTAGCAAAATCGGAACACATTGTAACCCAAACCACAACTTGTAAGGAAACGCTGCCAAAAACCGTAAAGGGCTGCCACAAGCAGTGAAGCTCCAAAAGGGTGTGAGAAAGCACCTGCAGAAGACAACTGTGGCTTCAGATAAAGCTGGCAGGACCTGGCACTCCCTGAAGGATAAAATGAGCAACTCCTAAACAGGAACAATGGTCTGGCAGAGGGAAGCTGCCTCTGACACCCTGAGGATAGAGAAGGACACACAGGGCTAACAAAGAAAATCACACGCCTGCTGTCATCACAGGAAGCAGTGTGTCCGTGAGGCAGGAGAAGGGTCTGCAGTGGGATAAGGCCATAGCTGCACATCGCTGCTGTCCAGGTAGACGCAAGGCTAAGAAATCAGCACCACAGTCCTGTGAACAAAGTTACATGGACCCAAGGAGCAATCCTGCTCCTCTAAAATACTTTCTGTATTCCTCAAAGGTACCTCCTGTACATGCATCCCCTGCAAAATGCTGATCCAAGAAAGTTTACCTCTTTCAAAGGGCAAGCAGCTCACATTCCCATAACAGAGGAAAAGAACAGGAAAAAAATAATGCAAACTAAGAAAATGCACCAGAAAAAAGCTATCACAAAGCAGACAAAAATTACGACCAAATTTGTGAACTAATTTTATGATCACTTATTTCAGAAGGGTGATGACTAGTACAGTTGGAGAAAAAAGATATTTTACATAGTTACAAAGGTAACCTCCAGAGGAAGTAAAAATAAAATACAAAGCTTTCAAATTGTCAGGAAGAGCACAACACAAAATAAAACAGACTATACACTGAAAGATTTTGCTTTAAGAGGCAATTGAAACAAAAAAAACAAAGACCTAAAATACGATAATAAAGCTAAAACCAAAATACTAGCTATCGATGAATGGCATGTAAACTGCTAAAAAGAAAAGATTCTAAGATTGGGGGAGAAGACAAAACCCCCAGCCATATGCTATATAGAAGAGACATCTCCAAAAAGAAGTGATTCAACAATGTTGAAAAATAAAGGCAGGGCAGGTATCGACAGACCAGATAAGAGCTACCTCAAAAGTAAGCAGGCCCTATAATCTTAATATTAGGCAATGAAGTTGCACTCAGGGAAAGCAATTTTAAATTAGACAAAGAAGAATAACTTTAAAACAATAAAGAATGCAATTCACAATTAAAGATCTAACACACTAATCACAGTGCCAAAATTCAGAGCAAAAGCTACAGAAAAATACTAGGACAGACAGGCACACAGTAGAGGCAGGTGATTTTAATGCACCTTTTAGCTCAAGGCAGATCAGAGAAATGAAAAGACAAAAAAGTCAAAGTTGCATAACTAATAAGACACATTTAATTGATGTATATATCAAAAAATATCCCATATATTAGGTCACAAAGAAAACCTCACGAAAAAGCAGAAATAATACAAAATCTGATAACACAAAAGAAAAACTCTAAATTCATCACAAAATTATGGATATAAAACCCTACCACTTCGACATTTTCTAAAGCTCACTCTTAAACAACCCAGATAAAAACAAATCTACATAGAAGTTACAGAATATCTAGAAAATAAGAAAGAGCTTCAGTTTCCCAGTCTGTTGAAATGGGAGTATAGGTGCCTTTAGGTAACTTACAAAAGTGACAGATTCCAATCCTCCCCTGCCTCACAGGCAGGTACCCTTGGGCAGCCTCTACAAACTTAGAGTGAAGCCCTGGGTGAGTATCTGTTCTACTGATTGAATTCCCACTTGTACCTTGCACCTCACACATTATCTTGCTTATTTCTCATAACCTGGTTGAGGCTCAAGGGCTTGGGTGAAGGTCATAGATTAGAGAAATGCAGGGGACTGGGGAACTGAGGCTCCACGAGGAAGGAGGCTGACCAAAGGTACATGGCTGAGAGATGGCAGAGCTGTTCTCAACCTGGGTCGTTTGAACCCAAAGTCCCCATTGCCTCTGCTGCCCTGGGCTTTCTCCATCACTGGCCTTAGCTCTTAGCACTCACTCTGTGCCAGGCTGCGTGACAACTGCACTGCAAGAACTACAGAGCATGTGTGCCTTTATTCAAAAGAGGTAACAGGCTTGGAGGGAGTGACCCAGGGCCATGGCAGGACAAGCCTGTGCTCTCCTGTCTTCTTTGATGCTGTTGAGAACAGGGCCTCTGTGGGGACAGCTCTCCAGGGCCTACCAAGACGTTTCTAAGGGAAACTGCTGTATCCTTGTACACAGCCATGCCAACCTTGGAGTTACTGTTGTTCAAACACCTTAATGTGCTTCAAAGCAAAGCCACACAGTAGCCCCAGAAGGAAGCGCTGGATTACTGAGGACAAAGTGCCCTCCCGCTTGGCTCTAGTCTCAGGGCATCAAGAGCACTGCCCACATCAGTGGTGGACAGGGATCCCAACGGCTGCCCCCCCTGGGGGTGTGGCAAGGCAGACATATAACAGACAGCTCCTTTGCTGCTCACCCGCGGACAGGGGCCACAGAGGAAAGCTCACATCCCCTAATGGCCATCTCCTACATATATATATATATATATAACCAAGGGCAGGGTCTGAATCCCTGTTGTCCAGTGGGCCCTGAGCAAGGTCTTAACTCTTTCAGACTCATCTGAAAAGGGCTGCTAAGTTCGTGCTAACCTTGCCTGCCTTTGCAAGGATCAGGGTAGACTTCTATAAAGTCTGGAATGGCACAGGGCACCCAGGAGGCACCCAGTAAATCCTCCTTTAAACAGTGCATGCCCTCCAATGTTGCCAATTTACCACCTGCGTGCATCCTAAAGAAACAACCATGATTATGCACTAGGATGCAGCTACAGAAGCCAAGGGCAGAGTGGTTCACAGCAGAAAGAATGGAGATTAACATAAATGTTCACCAATAGAGGTTGACATCCTGTTGCCCTGAGTCCCCAGCCCCTAGCCCCAATTCTGGCCTACGGTGAGAGCTAGAGTCTGCTAACCACAGCCCCGCCCTCAGTCCTTGCCCTGAGAAGCTCTGGCCCTAGTCTCCCACCACTGGATACAGAATTAACAAAGGAGTCAAAGAGAGGATGAGTAACTTGGCCTGAGTCCCTTGGAACCTGTCAAGGACATTGGTCAGGATTGGAAAGGAGGGACAGAATGACCAGCTGATGACAGGCTCAAGAACGGAGCTGGGAGAAAGGGAGTCTCACACACAGAGCCTCATTCCCTGAACCCGGCCACAGGCCAGTCTTCTTGTCTTTGTCCAGGGGAGCAGGGCCCTAGTCCTTCCTTCCTCATCACCCCAAACCTGCCTGTGAGCTCCACCTCGTCAGGAAGCCTCCCGTGACCCACCAGGCCTTGAGGGGCCTGCCTGTACCTCTGTGTACCCCAAGCCAGCCAGGTCTTTCTGGTCCTGCTGCCCTGCTTTTTG